CACTCACAGTTGCAACTGCCAGCGTCTCATTACCAAAGCTGCCTCAGCTTTCCAGGGAAGACACAGAGCTGGCACTTCTAATTAAAATCAATGAGCAAAGGCTTCAAATGGGACTGCAATATGTATCTTCAAGTTTGCCGGCACTGATGGCAGTCTATTTTTCACAGATAAAGTGACTTTTGGGGGAAGGAAAAAAAATTATATCTATGTATAAGGATAGAAGCAGATATTTATATATTGGTTTTGTATGCAGTCATGTGAATTTTTATTTTTCCTCACCTTTATGTAACAATCATGTCTTCTGTACGTAATTACATTTATAAAGAAAGAAATTTCAAAGAGAAGCTTCAGCACACTTGTAAGTGCTCCATTAGACACCTCCAAGAGAAGGGCCTACACTAAAACGAAACACTGAGGAACACTTCTGTGAATATGCTACCAAGCAAGACAAGCAAAAAACTGCATGTGCAGAGTAGCTAATGTCAGCAACTAATGGTAATGTAGTGTGGGTCAATGTTTTTTCTATTGTTTATTGCCATTTTTCTACCTAACTTTTACTTACTCCATCTTTAGAATACAGTGGATGAGGTGATCCAGTGTAGAAAGAAAAATAGAAAAAACACTGATGGCAAAACCTGTGTGCATTGAGCATGTCTGCCCAGCAGAGCTGAGCCAAGAGGACTGATGCTGCATGACCAGATGCACAAGCGGGATATGACATGAGTATGAACTAGCACCCAGCCTAGTCTGGCAGTCTCGTGTCGCCTCTTGGCTTGATCTCAAATCCGTGCTGCCTTGACTGGCTCAGGCATTTCTGCTATATGTTTGTTTGCACAGTGGAAACTTATCCTTCAAAACTTACCGTGTCCAAGTAGACGTGAAGATTTCCTCGGGCTGTTTATTCTGAAATACTGAAACCTAAAGAAACAGCTTTGATGTCCTACATGAAGCATCACCGCAAATGTTTGGCATTGAAGGACGGGGAGGAAGCCTTGGCCACACCAAAGCCAGTGTGGCAAGACTGTGTGTGCAAAGGCCCCAGGATGACACTAATGGTCCTTGCTTGAAAAATGTTGTAATATCCAGCCCTGACTAGCTAATGCCTGCAGGCAAAAACTCTTTAATAGGCCCTGAATACACAGAAGTCAGCCTACGTGTCACTGCAATGTGGTGACTGACACTTTTTAGCTGGCGCAGACCTCGACAGAAAATGTTACCATAGGTGTGTGCATGCACACACACCTGCGTGCAAGTCTAATGCAACAGAGTTTTAAGTAAGAGAATTGTATCTAACAAAACAAGGACAGTATAGGTTATTCACTTTCAAGATGATCATAAAAAGAGGAGAATATTTGGTTGGTAGGATGTTGCTGGAAAAAGGAAAAATGGCCATTGCCTTGTAAAGAACCTTTTTGTGGTCAGCCAAAGTTGCCACATGTCCATCTCAGCCAGCTGGGCATAACCAGCAAAAACACCACCGAAGGCTCCTGCACAGGCAGTGAAATGAAGCAAATTCCACAAGACCTTTCAGCCCTGATTAAAAAAAGAAAAAAAAAATAGGGAAACTTGTTACTAGTTGTAACACGTTGTTACATGTTGTAACTGGTTATTCCGAGCAGGTTGGGCTGAGCCCAAGGCTGGATAATGAACAGCTTAGTTTTTGTTCCATACAAAATTGTTCTCTTAAAGCTCCATTACACTACGCCACCACTGTACAACACTGTTAAGACAAACGAAGGGAGAAAGATTATCATGAGGATTGTACAGACCTGGTGGGAAGGAACCCTGCTGTCCCCAAGGTAAGAAGTGCCCCTCACTTAGCAGGATTAAGAGGTAAACAGTCTGAGGGAAAAATAGGAGATGAGGGTACAAATCGCAGTGATAAAACCAGAGTTAACTCTGGGCTTCACTGAACTGAATTGAGGGTTTGAATTTCGGTTTAAAACAAGTGCTTTGGTGAGAAGAAGGTGAGCTGGCTTTGTGAGTAGGGTACTGTGCTAGGACTTGGGTTTTGTCCAACCCTTACCCAGATATCTTGCATTACACCAGACAACAGTAAACCTTTCCTATAACTCAGGTCTCTGCAAGGCTGCTATTTCTCTACTTCCCAGTCATGTTGTGGTAACAAGTCCACTGCCAAGGGGAAGATGTTCAACAGCTGGTGATGAAGGGCAGGTAAGAACAGACACAATGACCAGCAAACCAGTTGTGTGGCAATCTCTGAATTTTTATTCCAGTTTCCTTAGGTGAGTACAGATCCACAGCGACTACACATTAAATACGCCATGCTTTGTTCAGTTTGGTCATAAGATCAGTGGTCTTGAAGAGAAGACTGACATGAAAAGGCCCATAGCTTGAAGCAACACGAGCATTGCTGCGGTCATCAGAGTGCTGCAGCCTGACGTATGCATGGGGCTGAACAGGCATGCCAGCAAAACTGCATGTGGGGCCTGAAAGAGCCACAACGAACCGAACTGGCAGCTGCCATCAGTGAAGGCGCAGCCCCCTCTGCTTTCAAAAGGAGCAGGACGTCCGGTGTGGAGGACAATGAATGGCAAATCATTACGCATCAAAACAGGCACCTGACAGAGAGACACGGCATACAGCAGTCACAGCGGATGAGTTCATTATTCCTAACCACAAACAGCCAGGGAAATAAAGCACCTCTTAGCAACCATGCTTTGAAACATTGCCAACAAACAAAACGGGGAAAGGTGGTCATTTTAGCTGAAAACAGTTGGTGTCCAAATGAATAATTTGCATCCAGTGTGCACTAAATACTGAGATAAAACTTTGAGCTCAAGAGCATGGTTATGTGAGAAGGAAGGGCAAGCCATTTTGATCTTTTATACTGATATCTGTGTCATGACAATTAACATTGCTCTCCCCCTGCTCTGCCCCTCCTGTTTGCTGCCCGGCTCTCTTTGCTTTTCAAATGTATGACTGGTGCAGCTGGCTCAGCGAAGCCATTTTTACCCTGCATGTCTTCTTCAGAAACAAAAGGCACAAAATATCCCTCAGCAAGCGTTTCTCCCAGTATTTCTTTCATTTATTTCTTTTGTGCTTTCTGTCTTCAGCCTTCCTTAAAAATGTAATTCCTATTTCCGTCACAGCATCACCCTTCAGCCTGTCCTGGAGGAAGGTAACTTCTGCTGCTAAGTGAACCTAGAAAGAATCAGGTCTGATCAGTTCAGCAAAGAAATGCCCAGGTTTTCCCCCTCCTCCAGTACAACGAGCTTTTTCTCTCTCTCTTACCACAAGGGGACACCCTTTCTCAGGTTTCATAAGAAACAGACTTCTAGATTGTTTTAAAATATCTTTCTCAACTAAGTTAATAAAAAGGAAGTTTATATACACTGGAATTTGTGTAATACAAATTACCCTTCATTCCAGTGCTTTGCTTTCTTCTGAGAACCTAAATTGTGTACTTGATGATTTTGTGATCACAAAATTTCCTGGTCATGTACTAATACTTATGATACAATACTTTTGATAATTAGTCTTATATCAGATACTGTAATTCTGAGACTGACGTACATACGTAATACTTGTACAGCTTTTGTTTTCTTGAAACATAAGATATATGACAAATTAGATATTGACAGAGACATAAAGCAGCCCAAAAGTTATCTTCCAGAAAATGCCACAGAAGCTGTACAACCCAGTGACTTTCAAATGATGCCCTTTGTTTATTCTTTTGTAAAAGTCTTAAATTTAAGAACAAAATTTGGAATGCCATCTGATACACTTCTGATGCCTTGGTTTTAACATTCTACTCATCCACACTTTGTTCTCCCTTTCAGCAGGTGCTGCGGTAACCTGAGAATATTATTTATCTTCACGTATTTGGAAAGAATCAGGGATGGCTATTACTGGTAACACCTATGCAGGAAAATGAGATAGGTTCAAGGAGCAGCAGAGTCGTCCAGCACGCCCGCCTGGCTCTCCACATTACGTGTTAGCTGGCTCCCCAGTCCCACCTGGCTTTTGCACCTGAGTCAGCCATTGAAGAGCCAAGCAGGGTGCTTCTCTACCTCAGGGTCCAGGATCAGTCTGGCCCTCTTTTATTTCGATATAGACATTTAATCTGAGAGAGAGATTAAACACTACTAAATTTCCATCATTTATCTGAGCAAGTGGTTTTGCTTTCCTGTGCCTCTGCATATTAACAAAGAATGGAGAAAAGAGACGTGCACTTCCTTACCATTTCCAAGGCACCTCGAATCACCCCGCAGAGGATGTTACAGTAGCAAAGTGATGCTCGTTCCGCTGGCAGCTCCTCCACAAAGTCCACTAGTGGGTTTTTGTCCAGGATTAAGGAGAATTCATTTCCTGCGGCACTGCTGCAGCTCACACTAGGGGTGACCCCAAGGTACATCTTGAAAGCAACCTGCAAAAGGGTGAAACTCTGCTGCTTGAATTTGTTGTGCGCAAACCGGAGGCGAAACTTTAGGATGCAGCATCCTGTAGACCAGCTTTACCCTAGGAAAACAGGGGCAAGGGCCAGACAGGCTGGAAACCAAACTAGATTTGTCTCTTCTGTGATCACCCTGAGCCAGAGATGCAAATCTGGAGCTACGCGATACTCCAGGGAAGTACAGCAGAAGGCTGCTTATTCTGTCTTTGATGTTCCTACATTTACAACCCCACACAAAGTGGTTTTACTATTATCACTCGTCTCCTTTCAGTCATGTCACACTTCCCTGGGACCATTAGCATCTATATTAGGTCCTTCCCTACATTGCCAGCAGCTTTGATAATCACAGCTCAAGAACTCCTGCAACTGGTGAGTGTGTGTGTTTTTACTCTCATCTCCATCTGCAGTCACAAAAAAACAACAACTCACCAAGAATAAGACTGCCAAGACTGCAAACTTATTTGATTATATAGAGCATTGCTTGCTTTCCTTCTACTACCGATGAATGTTACTGTAAATGTGCAACATCTGCGCTGCTAGTGGAGGGGTCCCCAGTGAGCGCGTTTCTCCAGACAGTGACATCATGGCGTTATCTAGACAGCGCGTACGCAGGCAGGCTAGCAGCAGGCTGTTCTTCCTCTGGAGATCTCTCCCCTGCTACACCACTACAGACTGCTACGACCGAAGATAAAAGTGTCTTGATTTTTACTTCTTTAGTGACTATCAGACATGGATGGTTTCCAAACAATCCTGAAATTCTTTATGAACCGGAAAACTGCTATAGGTTACAGTTTTATGGCACTGCTGACAATGGGAGGTGAACGTGTTTTTTCTCTTGTTGCTTTCAGATGCCCCTGCAGCAATGAAAACTTCAGGTACGGTTTGGTATTTCTCTTCTCCCCAGCTTTCGTTTTGCTAGTTATTGGATATTTCTTGAACAGCAAGACCTGGAAACTCTTTACAGGCTGCTGGGTGAATCCCAGAAAAATATTCCCCAGAGGAAATATCTGCCATTTCTTTTACATCTTCGGACAAATCACTTTAAACGCTCTGGTAGCCCCAGTGATGTGGCTTTCTGTGGCTTTGCTCAACGGGACTTTTTACGAATGTGCCATGAGTGGCTTGAAAAATCCTGCCTACTTACATGCAGTTTGCCACAGCAAATCTGCAAAGTGCTTTGAAGAGCTACACAAGGTAGCGTGTGACAAAAGCTCCATGCCCTTTTCAGAGAGTGACGAACTGAAACGAACTCTTCAAGCACAGTCCCAGGTAAGAAAAATAAAGAAAGCGCATTATGCAGTTTGTACTGCCGCTGTGATTTATCTGTGGAAGATCCTGATGTCAGATGCTAAGACAAAACCGTTGGTTTCACATAAACAAAGTTTTGGGATGATGCAGCCTTGCAAAATAGAATCAATCCATCTTTTAGTTCAGTTTGAGCTGTGCCATACTTCCTGGGGGGCCCCACTGACGGCAGAATCAATAAGACCAGATAACTTAAAGCTTTCTTCCTGAATGAAGATTGCTCTAAAGGGAAAAAACTACTGGATTATTTAGGAGGCTGAATTAACAGATGTCACTCCATTAAAGGGATCTGTCCTATTAAAAAATCCATACCACACTCTCCTATTTTATACCATCATGATAACTGTAATGAAACCTTAAGTCACTAACAGTAGAAAAATACTGGAAAATAAGAGTTGTGACAGATTTGTGACTGCTTACATAGTATGTTTCTGTTTGTGTTCCTCATGTTCATGATGGCAGATGAGAGCATGTTTTTGTCCTGCTTGGACAAAGGAGGAAACACTAAAATAAAACAAGCAGAACATACAAAGCTGAGAGCGTATTACATTTTACTATATTCGTGTGATACAGTTCTGCTCACTGCCTTGTAATGTAAATAAATTCAGAGACAAAAAATCAAAACAAAAGAAAAAAAAAGGAAAAAAAGGATATGGAAAAATGATAGATGATTGTCAGCAGGAAGGAAAAACACTCTGTGGAGCCAGCAAGTTTTTGTCAGACAATTGTATCCATCTGGAACCATTTCCTCCCCAAGAGCCGGTTTTATTTTCAAGTCCTCATGCAAATAGGACTGGAATGCAGGCAAAGCCTGCACTGCAGACAAAGCAATTTATTTGAGAGTTCTAGAAGGAAATAACAAATAGTGCTTAAGACATTAAGTTGTATATATAGGAACTAGTGAAAGACCAGTGACTTGGTTTATAGCATGAGAATACATGGGTTCATTCTCCAAGCTGCAGGAAAGTGAAAAGCTGCTAAAAAGAGCAGTTTCTCAAATACCCATAGAAATCATCAGTCAGTACAAAGTGACTGGAAAAATAAAAGAAAGCGAAGCTATTCTTCCAAGCCAGTCCCTAAGAATAACTGTTTGTCAAGCTTCTCTGTTTCACATATTTCCCTGAGGAAACTTTCTATATTCCCTCAGCTAAACACAGATTTTTACTGGCGGTTATTTTTTTAACATCAGTGCAAGAGTTCACATGAGAAAGGTTGCAGCATGGGAAATGAGTTCCAGTTCATATGGGTCTCTGAAACCTAGAAGATTTGTTCCACACTGGAATTGTTCCACTGTTTGAAAACAAGTGGGGTTTTTTTTTGCAAATGTTACACATTGCAGTGGAGTAGGTGGGTAAAACTAGTGGCTAGGCCAGTGGCACTAGGCATGAAAAAACTGTGTTCACACCTCTGCTCTCCTTAGAGGAGGACATCCCACAATAACAACTTCAAGCGCATTTTTCCACCCTCAGCCCTTGCTCTAATCCTGGAAGTAGCTTTTTCTTTTTAAATGTTCTTAACAGAATTTTGTCAAACTCTGAAGTTGCTACAAAAAAAGCTGAGTGATGCTGGAAAAGCATATTTCAGCAAAAGCAAAGTTCTCTGAAAATATAGCAACTATTTCTAAGCAGTGTGTAGATGAATTGGGCTCTATTCCAGTGCCAATGAACACGCTATTTCTTCTTTCTCATGCTCTTTCCTCTCAGCATTCTCACAGGATTGGGCAAGAAGGTAATTTTAAACCAGTTTTGGCATAAAAATGATTTTCCACTATGAAGGGCTGATTCATCAAAGTCAAAAAAATTTCACAAGAATAGCATAGATTTCAGTGAATCTCCTGCTAAAAGAATTGGTGAACACTTTTTAAATTTAAGACCATCTTTTATATTCCTGTTAGCTAATTAATGCAGTTGTTGGTTTCGGGGGTTTTTTTAATTAAAAAGAAGTCTGAAAACAACACATCTAAATATCGTTACAGTTTAAAAGGTTCACTGATCTGGGACAAAAGTTACTTACCCTTTTTGGTTTCATAGTTCACCACAATTCAGAATTGTGTCTTAATCCTAGTTCTTGCTGGGTAATTTTATTTAACGCTTTCAGGAGATAGAAAACCATTTACCATCTAGTGATTGTGATATTTTATTCTCCCTGTGCACTTTTCCCTTTGTGTGACAGAATTCAGTGAGCAATTCCAATCCACTACATTCCAGATGGTTATAGTTTTGCAATAAACTTGCATCAACATCCTCTCTAAATTACCCAGACACTACTCCTGCTCTCAGGTCCGCTCTGGTTTTTGTATAGCTCTGTTCAGCCATAACATTATTTGATTGATCATTTAGACCTCTCTTAGATTTTTCTTCATACACAGTCTTGTAGTTGACGTCTGATTCGAGATCATCTGTCCCTGAACATGCCACTGCCGTTGTGCTGCACATGTCTCTTCAGCCGTTGTTATCCGAGTTCCCTTTGTTATAAAATGGGATGGGGAGGCAGTCAGACTCTAGTATAAGCCAACTTTTCTTGAGCATTTTACCTTCCACTGTAAAAATCAACCAGCTTTTGCCTCCTGAGAAACAGACATCAAAATGAGCGCTACTGAGAAGCCTCAAGCCTGACGTCTTCCGCTTCCCTTTGGTCTCCATATGGGTGCCCCATTAACACCAATGCCAGGCACCAAATGCAAACTGGGATGAGACGCCTGCAGTAGGGTCCCAAGAGGAGCAGCAGGCCCTCCATAAAAAGTGCGGTCGCTCTGTCAGACACTCTTGATTTAAGCAGCATTTTCACTTGGGCCTTTTTAACCTGAAACTCATTTCTTTTGTCTTCCCAGATTTTAGGCTGGTGTGTGATAGTTACCACAGCTCTTCTCTCCCTGCTAACCACTTGCTGCGCCAGCTGCCAGTCGAAAGTCAGCCACCTCCAGCTGATGTTCTGGAGGGTATACGCGGAGAAGGAGAAGGAGCAACTGGAGCAGATTTTCCAGCTGTATGCCACCAAGCTGAGCGAGCGAAACCTGAAGTGCTTTTTTGAGAACAAGGAACCAGAAGTGATTCCCCTGCCAGCTTTTCAGGCATGGGAAGATGCTTCCCAGCTCTACTCTTTCAGCAGTAGCAAACAGCATTATAGCACAATTCACAGGCTAGTTGAGGAAGGCCAGAAAGAAATCAACGAGGAAAGAGAGACAATGCTAGACTTTGTGGACAGAAGGGAAATACCATAGATCAAATATATTTTCAGCTTTTTTATATTTTGCTAATATAGCACACTTCTAGCTGGTTTCATCTCTATATTTTTTCGCAATGGCATCTTTCTTCTTCATCATGTTCCCTCCCAGTTACAAACTTGCTCCAAAAGGATGGAATGAAATTATTTCCCTACATCAGTGAAAAGGCTGCAGTCCTCCATTGCACCTAGGGTGCATGCTCTACTAACGTCGCTGGCTCTGGATCAAGAGCTGACAGCAAAAAGAGATGAATAATGACTTCTACAAAAGGGTTGTAACAATATCCTATGTAAAAGGCGCTATAGTATGCTCATCCTATGTAAATCAAGAGACTATCATAAAGTAACACTATTTAAAAGGTGTGAATATAATAGTAGAAGATGTGTGTGGCTTTCTGACAGCCCACAGAAAGTAAAGGTTTTGCTTTCAGGTCATTTGCAGGTACAGTATTGTTTTGAGGCACCAGTGGTCACTCAAGGCATCTCGGTGTCTTTGGACTCCTGTTGCACCTAGAATGCCACGGATGGTCATATCCATCAGCCCTGGTCTTCTAGTCCCTGAGACATCTGCCTGGGACATGGGGTAGTGACCTCCATTGACAGTGAGGTGCCAAGTAATTTTTTAGACAAATCTTATAGACGAAGTGTGGGGTACCAAGAACTTGAAATTACCAAATGGTTTGGCATTTTTGTGTTTTTGTTAAAAAATAACATGCTATTTTGAAAGATAATCAGTTGTTGTTAGTGCTTTGTTACAATAATAAAAACGCATCACTGATATTTTGCCTCCGTAGAGTACTTGGTATTATCTTCTCCCACTGAGAATTTCTCTTTGCACGGGTATAAAGCTCCTGTTTTGAGTGGGTTTCGGGCACTGGGTGCAGCCTGTAGAGCTATGTAATATCGTTTGTACTGAGCCTGCAGTCAGTGTACGACTGAGGGCCTGGAAGGAAACTCCACATTTTAAGACAAGAAAATATTTTTGCAGCAGGCTGATTTTCATTTTTCTGAATATCTTAGGAAACTTAGTGTCTGGAGCAAGAGGGACCGGCAGGCAACGCAGGTGAGGTGACCGCACGATCAGTGCTTCTGACAAATGCGTTTCACCCCAGAGCCCTATGCTTTACCTCATCCGCTTGGAATTCACCACGTGGCTCTCACATGGGGTGTCCAGAGTCTTTGCAAATACTGTATAAAAGGAGAACAACATTTGTGCCAAGTTTCTTTCCCTGGGGTGATTGGGCAGGCTTTTATGCAGCATTTTACTGCCAGTCTCTCTGAGTCTGCAAAGAATCGTATTTTTGCTCTGCTTGAATCAGGCTTTTATCAAGAAACCAGGGTACTCTGCCCAGCTGTTCTCATACTCACTGCGGTTCTTCAGCAGAAAAACACATCTATCTGCATTTACAGACCATTACTCTTTTTTAAAATAAAATCCAAGCGCTAATTTCACTGTGTGCTTAGAATTTTCTCTGTGTGTTTTGAAGAACTTGTGGTCTTTGAGCAAATGTTTTGAAGTTTTTTATCCCAGCTGACTTAGAACATGTTATATGCCTAAATGTACCTGCTGCAAGCTGAAAGCACAGAGGCAACATAGCCAAAATGAAAACCACAACAGCAGGCATGTCTGACACCATGTCTGGCGCATATGCATTTTTCTCCCCAGGCTCCTCTCCTGGTATAGCAACTATCTAATTCCAGGGTACACGTCCCTTCCCATTTGTCTGCTTTTCTCTTTCTTTATGAGAGATGCCCCAACATCTACTGCCCAGCCCCATCTCATCTCCTCCCCACACGCAAAGGGAGAGGAGACACCACCTAACAGGATGTCCCCACTGCTGAGGCCAAACTTCCCTTCCCAAAGCCATCTTTCCACCTCCTTCCTCACTGGTACACAGAAAACCAAAGCAAGCAGGGATGCAAAGGGGAGGACACTAAGTAGGTTAATGAGCTGATCAAGGAATATGGGAAACAAGTGGGTTGATGTAAGAATGAGGTCTCCACTGTGGTATAGGAGCTGGGACACAGAGGCAAAAGCATAGTTGGCAGAGAGAAAGGTGGGAGGACAGAGCGATCCCATTTTGGGCTTTTGGCACCCTCTTTTTCCTCAGGAAAAAGCTTAAAGCTCTGCACCTGAGTAGCCAGGACCATCTGAAACAGGAGTGTTTCCCACCCTGGCTTTCTTCTTTATTGTGGAGGGGCAAAACCAAGGTGCATTCTCCTCTCCTCATCCTTACCCTGCTTCATGTTCACAGGTAACTCATGTTGAGAGTGTCTCCACTTCCAAGAGCAGCTGCTGAACACTTAGTGCTGCAACATGTGCCTGGTAGGAGCCTAAGTCTTTCACTGACCCACGTTCCCAGGGCTGTGTTACTCTAACTGTGTTGTCTTACCAAAATGCCTGTGACTTAATGCAATTGCCATGTGGATGCTGGGATACTTCTATTAAAAACAGACAAAAATAAAAGCCAGTTTGACCATATGTTTCCAACTGGAGTCTGGTTTTGGCAAATTTAACCCTGTCCTTCAAGCAGCTATTGCAAAAGCTGTTTTGTATCAACACTGTCCCTGAATTAAAATTCAGCAGCTACCATGGCAGCTCAGAAAGACTATTGTCAACTCTATCCAAAACAAACTGGAAAAAAACCCCAAACAGCAGAATCAACATTTCCTCTTGGAAAATTTAGATTTTGCATTAACTCTGATGCCCATCAAAATATGAGTGCACAAATAAACAGGAAACTTGTGCTCAGTTCTCTGTGCTTTGTCCCTCAGTTTACTATTTATTCTTCTCTGTGAGAACGCAATTTTCTCATTTAAATTCTCTTAACTCTTCTTCCGCTATACATCTGCTGCTCTGTCAAACTTCAAGTCTTTGTTACAAGAACAAAAACTAGTTAACCATGCCAGGCCCTCATATGCTTTCAATTTAGTTTCAGCTGTACTCTGTGTTACGGTATGACGACTCTGTCCAAATTCTACTGTTAAAATTTCCTGTGTAAAAGAGAACTTGCATGGAAACTATGCAAAACCAGTAGCTGGTTTGCAATGGAGCACCAATTTAAGGCAAAATTGCAAAGCTATAGAGTGAAAACTGTAAAAAAGTCTCAGCAGAAAAAATATTTTAAGTACACAGATAAGTAATTCAATTAATAGATATGAACTTTTTTTTTTTAAACCAGGCTATGACTGGACAGAAATTCCTTTAAAACTACCATACACGACTTCTCAGAGGGTAAAACAAAGGTCTTTTTGATCTTTCTTTGTGACTCCAAAAGACAGGGAAGTAAAACGAATAAGCAGTTTTGAAAGTTGCATCCATAAATCCATCTCACTTCTATCTATATGAAATGGAAGAAAAAAGAATATCTATTTAGACATGTACATAGGTTCACCATCAAAATGACACCTGTAAAAAGCAAAATCTCTCTTTTGAAAATGTTACTTGCGACTCTACGGGATTATATATTGCTAAATGTCAAACAAGAAATCTATGCAGTCAGAATTAAAAATGTACCACTGCCCTTTTTCAAAGTCTCAACCAGCATTCCATCTCTCTCAAGCAGCAAGAATAAAATTCATTAACATTTTGAAAGTGCTCAAATACAGTCTAGAATTACTGAAATATTTAGGAGGCCACTAACATCAGTCCCTTTATATACTACTGGGGACTTTTCACTACAAAACATTGTATGCGTAAGTAATGTTGCAAAGTAAGTGATAATACAGACTGTTAAAAAAATTGAAACCATAATTTCAGATGACATAGTAACAAGATTAATGAAGGACCAGAATTAATCTGCTTAGAAGGGGAAAGGCAGCCAAAATAACATTTTTGCTAGCATACTTTTCATTCTTAGTACTTTTCCACAAGAAGAGCAAGATGCTTTAAAGGTCTTGCCATCTGTTGCCGATTCTATGTGCTCACAAACTTTTCTTTACTCTTTACAGTGCAGCACTTCATTTTTCAGTTTACCAATTAGCACAGGAACCTGCTGTATGCATTTCCCTCTCTGTGTTGAGATCTGAAAAGCAACATTTACCACCTTCGTAAATTCTGCCAGCTTCTGTCAGGCTTTCAAACTGGCCATACGTCAATATATAGGGACCTTGTGTGGCAAGACCTCCCATGGGAAGAGGAATCACATCTCTTGTCCTACAACTCTGGGATTGGGGGTGACATGGTTGGATCACCCCAGCCCTGACGGTCCCCAAGGGCCTCTCTACAAGCAGCTGCAGGGATGTCTGTTTGCTGCATTCATGGGGTACTGAGCTTCTACAGTAAAGCCCATCTCTCCAGTCACTGCTTTTCAGCAAGGGTTATATCCTTAGGCACAGCACCGTATTAACACAGCTATGGAGCCTGTGAGCCAGCACTAGCTCACTATGGACCAGAGGGTATGGCCCGGCTGCTCCCACCTGTAGCACACACGGACACCTCCTGGGGCATGGTGACATTCTGCTATGGAAGGTAACATTGTTCTAGGATTAGATCTAAAACCAGAAGCTGTTTATTTTTTGCATCTCTTTCGATCAGATCAATGATGTCAAGGTCTTGTGAGGAGGAATTGAAGTAAAAATTTTATTTTGTAGGATTATAGAGCAAAACTATCACCCTCATTTCAAAAGTAATCCTTGGTTATACTCAGATCCAAATTCTGAATCCAGTCTTGGACATTACTGCTTCAGCTGAGCTTTATTCTTAATACCATTCCTTAATTGGTTTCCATTTTCTTATCCCAATTTGCCTGGGAGCAGAAAGCCTACTTTTACATGGCCTGTTTTATCTCTTTTTACTCAATCCTGACTGTAACTACACAAAATCACAGCACCAACACGAGAAGTCAGTGAGCACCATGGGAAGTCAGTGTAGAAGGACTCACTTTGGCTCATCATCAAAACTTGTTGGCCCTTCTCCAGTCCAGTATAAGCTAGCAGTAAATCCCAGGCTTTGCAATCTGAACCAGTGGTTGAAGTTTTGAGCCCTCAATCACTGCCTTAGGTGCACCTTTCCTCTGGTATTTATTTCTTAATATGGCAAGCTGGCTTTGTACTCCTCATTTTATGTTTTTTCCTTTGCTTCATCTCTTTCCACTTCCACGGGGAACACCCACAGCATGATCTTAGAGACTTCTCCTTTGCTTTCCAAAGGACTGCAAGATAACAGCTATGTTTACAGGATGTTTGGCTCTAACTACTTGAACTGCTTAACTGCCTTAATTACTTTAAATTTTAACTGGTTTTACTCTACACACTCATCCTCAAACAGATTTCTACCTCAGAAGAGTTAGTGCAGTTAAGTATTTAAGCGCTTTCTCCTGGCTGAGAACACTACTGCTGAAGAGTTAAAGAGATCATGTAAACAGCCATGTAATTCTGAACAGATAACTTTAACAGCATATTTGCAATTACTTGCTGGGTCATTTTACATTTGTTTTGTTGGTATGTGCCTCAGACAAACGTGCTTGAAGACTATTTAAAAAATATTTTGCCAAAGAAATGTGAAAATGCTTTGCATATCACATTTTGCCTCAGAAAGGTTATACTCCTACTACAGAACTCCTTTTAGTTTGCTAAAAATAGTCTTTTCAAGAGACTTTGTGCTTTAAAGTTTGTTCCAATCTTTCCAAGTAGTTTTATTTCTCTCAGTAAGTCTCTTTTGAAGTACAGCCTGCAGAGAAATAGTGTCTTTTTGCTTACTTTGATGGTTAATTTTTCACTGTATTTTGTTGTTGAATCCCCTGTACTTAAGAATGATAGTTCAACTGTACT